CTCCAGGAGGGCGCTTCACCTTGAAGAGCCATCGGCCATCGACCACGTTCACTCCAGGTGGGGGAACTGCGTCAATGAAGGTACCGGTGGATCTCCAAGATGCCATCTCCTGCTCCATGGCAGCTATCCACTGAGAGGCCAAGGCTCCCGAGGTGGCCTTAGCGTAGGTGCGAGGGGTCGGGATGTTAAGGGCATCAGGGTCACCCTCAGGGACTAGCAGCATGGAACAGAGATGGGGAGTGGCTTCAGACAGGAAAGCGAGCTCGTACTGCCTGTCATCTAGGACGTTACTTCCAAGGGCAGCCACACCCTCGATGGTTGGAGGGCAAGCAAGGTCAGAGACCAGAGCAGTTGCGTAGTCAAGGCGGCGGGTAGCGGCGAAGTCAGTGGCTGCAGCTACAAGAGCCGACAGACTCGAGACAGGAACAGACGGGTCGATAACAAGAGAGGCAAGGACACGGGGAAAAAGGCGACACACAGCACGGAAGAAGTCAGAGAACGGGGGCGGGGCCGCAGCAAGTGACGACGTAGAAGGAGCTGGCAGGAGCGGAGGAGCACGAGACGCGTAGGAGCTAAGCAACATAGGGTGAGATAGCTGAACAGGGGAGGTAACATGAGCACGAGACGGACGACGAGACCAGACGTGAGACGGAGGAGTCGGGTCAGGAGAGAGGGGAGGAGACAGAGGAGGAGAACGGGGAGGGAAACGAGCCGGAGAGGAGTCTGGCGGAGGAAACACGGGGCTATAGACCAGCGGAGGAGGAGGCGAAGAGCGGACACCAGCGACGACTGGTGCGACTGCTGCCCGACTCCAACAGCAGAACCTCCAGCGTCAGCACGACTCCCTCCGAGAAGCTCCACGCCAGCACCCCCAGAACGGGAACCCGCTCTAGTACCTGCTCCTGCACGCTCCCCAGCACCCCCAGAACGCACGAACCCTAGCGGCGGTGACGACGGCGGCGACGGAAGCGGCGGAGGCGGCTGTGGCAGAGACAGCAACGGCGGCGACAGAGGAGATGAGACTGGGGCGGGGGGAGGGACTCCGCAGAGCCGCAAAAGTCAGAAGGGTTCCTTGGCAGGGACACCCGACCATGGAGGGGTGACGTGACACACACCAGACGGGGCAGGGAGGGGAGGGGGGGGGAGCTGGGGCAACCGGGGGAGGGGGGACAAGGAACAAGGGGGGGTTAACGGGGGGACCACGGTGGGAAATGCGGTGGTAAAAGGAGACGGACTCGTCAAATGTGACGTCACGAGAGTGAAATAACCGGTGAGACAGCGGGTGGTAATAGTGCCACTCAAACAGGTCGAGGGGAAAACGTAGGAAGACACAGAGGGCAGTGCAGGCAGTGAGCTTGTCCATGTGAGAGGCACGAATATGAGCAAGGCAGCCCCAGACGTGGAACGCAGACGCGTCACCAGGGGACCCGGTCCAGAGGAGGGTCGGCAAAACCTGCGGCTGCTGAGAGTGCGGCCACAGGTTAAGCTGGTGAGCAGCGTAGCGAACATCGAACGGCCACAGAAAATGGGGTGCACCGGCATGGATCATAGAGGTACGAGCCACCTCCATGACCAAACTGATGCATGGCTCAGCGACCCCATTCTGCTGCGGGGAGTCCGGCAACTACCCCTCCGCTCGACAGAAGCGACCAAGGCAGCCAGAGGCGAACTCGCCACCATGGTCGGAGTGAAGACGCAACACAGGGAGACCTCGGTGAACACGCGCAGATAAACCACTGGATAAGAACGTCAGGCACGTCGGCCTTCTGCTCCAGGAGAAACACCGTGGTGTAGTGTGTGTTGTCGTCGACAAGCACGATGAAGTAGCGCTCTCGACGCGACCCATGGACGGGGGCAAGGCCCCAGACGTCCATCTGCAGGGTCCGCAGCGGTGCAGCGATGGGGGGGAAACGAGGAGGAGTGAGGGGCACGGCGGAGCCGGTGAGGAGGGTAGCGCGGGGAACGACTTAGGGAGACCTAAGACAAGACCGTGCTAAGACATGTGACGAAGACGTGTGAGGGCAGGGTGACCTAGACGGTGGTGCCACAGAAGCATCGGGTGAGTAAGCAACCGACACGAGCAAGCCGCAGCAACCTGGGAAGACGCAGACACCTGGGGAGACGTCCCAATCGGGGGGGACGCGGTGTCCAGCGTGAACAGGCCAGACACCGGGTCCAGGGGTAACGTGGTGAGGGGAGCACCAGTGGCGGCCTCGGTACAGACAGCGTACCTCTCGTGACCAGGGAACGTAGTGGTGATGCCAAGGTCCTGGAGGCAGCCGACACCAACTAGGTTCGTAGAGAACGAGGGGATGTGCAGGCCTGTAAGGGAGCCCGAAGGAACCCCCGGACAGGGAAGGGTGGTGGAGCTACGGGCGACTACAGGACCTGAGGAAGGGTCTGCAAGGGGAACTGCGGTGGGAGCGGCAAGCGGCGTAAGCGTAGTGGAGTCCCGAAAGAAACATTGGGAAGCACCGGAGTCCAGGGTGAAGGAGAGAGTGGCAGTGGCGGCAGGGGTCGGAGGAGCAAGGGTGGAGCCAAGGCTAAACAAAGCAGGAGATCCTACGCCTGACGCAGCAGTGGAGTCTGAACTAGGCACACCTACACTAGGCAACAAGGGGTAATTGGAACCAGTCACACTAGAGTCATCGACATACAGTACATACAATACAGAGCTAATCTCGTCCATGTCCATATCAAGATCCTAGCACCACGGCGGAGCAGACTGTGCCAATCAAGGAGGTCTGGCGCCGGGCCAAAGCGGAGACGAAACAGGTCGTCTAGGCGACTGAAACAGGTCGTCTAGGCAACTGAAACAATGAGTGGGGGTATGGCCGATCTTACTGCACACGAGGCCGCTACGAGGACCAGTCTGGAGGTGGTACTGGCAGCGCCCGTCACTCGCACCACCACCCGACGACACGATGCGCGCACGACCACTGCGACCACCTCCACCACCGGCGCCAGACCACCCAGGCGGTAGATGGCCGACCCACCGCTGCTGCTGCTGCTCCGTGGCACCTGCCCCAGCGCCCTCGTCGGAACTACCAGCGGGCGAACCACCTCCACCACCGCCGCCACCCCCTCCTCCGCTATCTCCGCCGCACCCCACTAGCGACCCTTAGCCAGACGAAACTGCGCTGCGGCGGCTGTCTCCGCGGCAAGGGCTGTCTCAGCGACAGCAGTAGAACCGTCAGAGTAAGTGCACTGAGCGGGGGCACAACCCTGAAAGATAGGGACTGGCGTAGTACCGCTGGACTGGGCGATAGAGCGCTAACGAGTCTCTATAGCAGACAGGGTGTCGACAAAGTCAGTGAGGGTGAAGTCTGCGGGGTGGAGACTAAGAAAGTGATCGCGGGTAGTAGCAAGGCGGTCAGGGAGGCGGATGGGAAGCAGGTAGAGGGTGGAGCAGATGGGGGGCTGAAACACACTAAGCTGTGCCTCATTGCAGGCAGCGTGCCAGGTCGAGTCTAGCATGCGCAAGTGCGTAGCGAGGTCAGCGACAGTGGAGAAGGACGCGAGATCAGGAAAGAGCATGGGCAGAATCAGGCGACCGACAGAGGCAGAGGGCGAGGCGCACGTGAAGAATTGGGTCACCACCGTCCTCGTACCATTCCTGCGCACCATCCCTGCGAGGCGTGGTGGCCGTCAGAATTCGCTGGTGGTCCTCGACTCGTATAAGGGACACCTCACTGAGGGAGTGTCTCAGTTGATGCGACTGTTCAAGCTCTCCCGTGCAGTCATTCCTGGCGGACGCACGCCTAGCGTACAGCCTTTGGACGTGGCAGTGAACCACTGCGTCAAGGCGCACGTCCGTCGATCGTACAGCGAGTGGTTCGAAGAGTTCGGCTGCGAGTTGACCACTACTGCTGGTGAGCACCATGTTTTGTTGTCGACGTGTATTCTGTGATTTTTTCGTTTTTTTTTTACTGTGGTTCACATGGCTTGCGTTTGCCCCGTCATTTAGTCAAGACTAACTATCGTGCTCTGTTTCTGTTTCTGCCTGCCAGGGAACTTGCGCAAACCACCGGCCGAGCTTGTGTTGCAATGGATTGCTGACGCGTGGGCCGCGGTGCCGGCAGAACTCATCCGCCGCGCGTTCAAGACGTGCGGCATCGCCAACGCGACCGATGGCACAGAGGACGAGGTGATTCTTGCCCACATGCGGGATGACGCGGAGGTCGAGGTAATGGACGATGTGCACGCCGAAATGGAGGAGACTGGGGCGCAGAATCCCTTCTACGACGTGGAGTACATCGGGCCCAGCGCTGCGCCAGGCGTGGAGGACGACGAGCCAGATATGGAATTTGAGATCGATGCTGTGACTTCTGCCTGATCCTCTGGAACGCCGCGGGCGGATGTCGCAGGACCAACAGCAGCAGCAGCAGCAGCAGCAGACTTGTCCCTAGACACGACAGCACGTGCAACAGCAAAAGCCTTAGCAACAGCAGCAACAGGAGGAGAAGTCCCTGCTAGCGAAGATGACGAGGGCGATGGCGGAGAGATGCCGGCGGCGGAGGTTCTTGCTGGCCTGGCTGCGCTCCGCTGGACTGATGATTTCGACTGGGATGATATTGCCTCCAACGATGAAGATGCAGAGGTGTGGCATGCTGGAGAGGAATATGAGGAGGAGGATTCATAGTAGACGTAACTATTGACTAGATGTGACATCCTGTTCTAGAGGTAGTAGATCATGCCACGTAGGTGTAGCTAGCATAGGTAGAGTAGCTCTGAGTAATTTGTTGCAACTAATGCTCTAACATTCAGAAAAAAACATTGATTTGACGTGAAAAAACGATGGAGGGTGTTATGTACAATGCAAGGTCTAAAAAGCGGGTGCTCTAAAAAATGTACCATATCATAAGCTATGCCCCGCATATGCCACCCATGGAGTGACTATTTCTGCGGGTGTTATATACGGGGGAATACTGTACAAGGGAATATATCCTAGTGGGTTGTACTCTCTAAGGCACAACCCTGTGTAGCCTATAACAACATACAAAGATATGTTTTGACATATCCACGCCCAAAATGCAGCTCTATGGTGCAGCATTATAATACATGCATCAGCAGTGCTGCATGTTGCTGCTTTCTGCTCCATGTACAAGATTCCTCGCTGCATTGCCAAAACGAGGTCTAAAAAACTATACTACTACCATCTCATTGGCTCAAACTTGGCCAATTCAATTTCTAACTCCTCCACTGCCGCCATAGCAGCAGTTTCTACAGCATCGTCTGATGCACTAACAGCACGAGTAACAGCAGCACTACCAGCAACAGTAGCACTGTTGCTCAACCAAGCACTACTCCCACCTGTTGCTGTGCCAGCAGCAGCAGCAGCAGCAGCAGCATAGCAGCAGAGGTGCATGAGCTCACGTGTGCGGGGTAAAGGGCGACATCTAGTCGTGTGCATGTCCCTTAATACATCTCGCAGAAAAGGAAGCGTGGGCGGGAGGGAGGAAGAGGAGAATGAGGAATGCGAGCTGCTGCTACTGCTGCTGCCGCTGCTGCTGCTTCTGGTGCTGCTTCTGCTGCTACGGTCACTGCCAACGCTCCCACTGCTACCGCTGCCACTGCTACGGCTCCTCTTACTGCTGTTAGCATTGGGAGCAGCAGTGGCAGCAGCAGTTGCAAAACCGCCGTCAGCAGCAGGAGAAGCTTTGCCAGCAAGGGGGGCATGAGCAGCAGTTGCAGTGGCCGGTACTGTTGCAGTGGCAGCTGCAGTGGCGGTAGCAGTGGTAAGGTAAGTTTGCAGGAGGGTGTGGAAGTTGGGCAGGGTGGGGAGGTAAGGCGGTGAGGTGCCGTGCAGGAGGGAGAACAGGGCCTGTGACTCATGCAGACTGCGCGCCTGCAGCCCATGGACGGGGGGGGAGGGAGGGGGAGGGGGGAAGGGGAGGGGGGGGGGAAGAGCACAAGGGAAGGGGTGATGGGGGTGAGTGGCGCACGGAACAACGTTGAATGGCAGTGCCAACAGTAGGGGATTGATGGAGTGCAGGAGACAGAGAGGGGGTGGGGGGGAGAGGGGAAGCAGAGAACGAGGCAGAGAATGAGGCAAGAATGAGGCAAGAATAGGCAAGAGTGAGGCAAGAATGAGGCAAGAACGAGGCAAGAATGAGGCAAGAACGAGGCAAGAATGAGGCAAGAACGAGGCAAGAATGAGGCAAGAATGAGGCAAGAATGAGGCAAGAATGAGGCAAGAATGAGGCAAGAATGAGGCAAGAATGAGGCAAGAACGAGGCAAGAACGAGGCAAGAACTAGGCAAGAATAAGGCAAGAATGAGGCAAGAATGAGGCAAGAATGAGGCAAGAATGCGGCAAGAATGAGGCAAGAATGAGGCAAGAATGAGGCAAGAATGAGGCAAGAATGAGGCAAGAATGAGGCAAGAATGATGCAAGAATGACGCAAGAATGACGCAAGAATGAGGCAAGAATGAGGTGCAACTTGGCATTACAAGGGGAGGAGATGGAAGAACACACAGGGGGGACGAGCGAGTGAGTGACACCCCATCCCCATCCCTCACCTCGCGAAACGCCTCCAGCACAGCTTGCACACATGCCGGCTCCCAACACGCAGGCGCTCCCCCCTCCCTCCAGCCACCACCCCTTCTCCCTCTGCTACTCCCGCCACTGTTACTCCTCTCCCACCTCTCCCGCCTTTGCCACACTTCATCCGCACCCACCATCCCCACTCCCCGCTCCCTCCGCCCCTGCCTCTGCCCCTTCCGCCCATTGTCCCCCTGCTCTCCCCCCGCCTCCTCCTCCTCCCCTCTCCCGCCCCTGCTTCCTCCTCTCATGGCCTCAATCGCCTCCCTGGCAGCAGCAGCAGCCTCGTCCACTGCCCCCACCCGCAGATATGCATGGATCACTGCCGCCCGCCACGAGCCTGAACCTGACAGGCCCGGTACCGAGCCTGGTACGCTGGTTGGTGCACCAGACCTGGGTACAACCGAACCGGACACCGATGGGGATGATGCTGCTGATGTGGATTCTGATCCGCTGCTGCTCTGTCCTGCCAGTTGCGACATTGAAAGCTCAGCAATTCCCCGAGCCAGAGCCTCGAGGTTCGGCAAGAGGCCTGGGAGCGCGCAGGCACGGATAAGGCGGATGTAATCGGATACGTGGAGAGAGAAGGTGGGGGAGAGAGGTGGGGGGCGGGAAGCGAGGGGAGAATGCGAGGGGGTTGGCCCATAAACAGGGGAGGAAGAAGAGTGAGAAAATGGGTTGGAGGTTGATGAGGAAGTGGAGGAGGAGGAAAGAAGGAGTGAGATAAGTGACCGAATCTCCTCCACTAACTCCGTCTCTTCCTTGCTCTTCTCCCTCTGCCTCCCAGTCTCATTCCCCCCACCCCCACCTTCACCTCTCACACTCCCATCTCCTCCCCTCCCCTTCTCACTGCCTTCCCCCACGCTCCCCTCCACGCTCCTAACGCCTAGACCGCACAGCCCCACCAGCAGCTCTCTCACAACGCCCTCCCGCCCCTGCAAGGACGCCACATGCGCCACCTCTATCACCGCCCTAGCCGCGCCTTCTTTAGAGACTAGCCCCGATGCATGTGCGCCCACCACCCATGCCACCGCATCTGGCAGCCCACCTCTTTCCGCCACCACTCTCGCCACCTCTCCCACTGCTGCTGCTGCGCCCTTCCAAGCACCACTCCCCTTTCTGCTACTAGCCTCAGCTGCAAACCTGCCTGAGCGTGTGCCTCCACCTCCTCCTCCTAGCTCTGCGTGTGCTGCTGCTTGCTGCAGCAGCAGCAGGCAGGCGGTGGAGAGAGCCTTGGAAGTGCAGCAGGCGGAGAGGAGCAGGAGAAGCAGCAGGAGGAGGGGGGGCGTGGATGGGGATGTGCGAGGGAAGGGAATGACGGCGGGCGATAGGGAGGCATGGGAGGAGGAGGAGTAATCTGATGATCCCAACTCTTGCTGCCGCTGCTGCCCCTGCTGCTGCTGCTGCTGGTGCTGCTTTTGCAGCAGGTGTCTCTTTCTCTCCTGCTCCTGCCACCACGACCGTTGCCAGCAGCAGCACCACCAGAGCAGCACCCTAGAAGCAACCTTCACCGCACCCCTCTCCTCCAGGCCCCCCACCACCGCCGCCACCACCGAAGCTGTCAGCCCCCGCTGCACGAGCCTCAGCTGCCGATCCACCGCTGCCGAGCCTTGTGTTGCCAGCAGGAGGTTCGGCGGGGGAGGCTCGGGAGGCGGGTCCCAGAACAGATCCGGGAGGGAGTGACGGTGGTGATGCTGCTGCTGCTGCTGTCTAGCTTGTCTGGCGTGTGAGGGTGGCAGGCTGGCGTCAGGAGGGAAGAGCAGCAGCAGCAGGTGCTGCCACGTGCCCACAGGCCAACCTCGCATACTTCCCATGAACCTACCGATCTCAAACCCCGACACTTCAACACTATCACCCGATACAATGTTGATGCCGTTGCCACCGCTGCTGCTTCTGCTTCTGCTGCTGCTGCTGCTGCCGCTGCCGCTGGTATAAGAACTAGTATTAGCCATATTACCAGTGATCTGATAGATATTATCCGGAATCTCTGCGAAAGGAGACGACCAATCAAGGCTCTCCATCCCTGCCAGCTCAGCAACCAGCTCGGCAACATCGAGATGCTCGCTCGTCGGCGAATGGTGGCCCGACACGTGGCGCTCCAGTGGCCGTCCGAGTCGGAGGCGCTGCATGGTGGGCGGCAGGCGCGAATCTCGACGCGAAATGCGGCCAGGGAACTCGCTGGGAGTGCGGGGAAGGGGCGTGGGGCGGGAGAGGTGGGTCTCGGGGAAGGGGAGGCGGGGATTGGGGGACCATTTGGGCAAGGGGACAGGAGGGGCAGGGGGGGCAGGGGGGGCTGGTGAGCGGGCTGGTGAGCTAGGCGCAACGGCAGGACGGTTGGGATAGGGCTCTGTTCGTTCCCCGTCTCGGGCGGGACTTGGCTCTGAACTTAACTCCGACTGTCGGCGTCTGCCCGGGAAACGAGAAGGGCGTGCTTCGGCGTGCGGGAATGGCGCAGCGCGCTGATTGGGGGCTCGCGGAAGGACGCGCGGAGGGCGGAGCGGAAGAGAGGGATGCGGGCTGGGGGTGGGGAAACGAGAGAGGGGAGCGGGCAATATTCCCCGGAGTGGCTTGGAATGAAGATGTATGGCATGGGGAGGAACCAACGATGACAGCGCCATGGGGAGGGTACGGCGGGAGGAAAGTCCACGGGGGGAGGGGGATCCAAGGGGGTTCCAAAGGGGGGCGAGGGGGGTTCGAGGGGGGGTTTGAGAAGGGTCTGAGGATGGCGCGCCCAACTGAGTTTAGCTAGTTTCAGAGAATGGGGACGCGAACAGTGAGTCGTCCGATGACAACTGTGAGTCGTCCGATGACAACTGTGAGTCGTCCGATGACAACTGTGAGTCGTCCGATGACAACTGTGAGTCGTCCGATGACAACTGTGAGTCGTCCGATGACAACTGTGAGTCGTCCGATGACAACTGTGAGTCGTCCGATGACAACTGTGAGTCGTCCGATGACAACTGTGAGTCGTCCGATGACAACTGTGAGTCGTCCGATGACAACTGTGAGTCGTCCGATGACAACTGTGAGTCGTCCGATGACAACTGTGAGTCGTCCGATGACAACTGTGAGTCGTCCGATGACAACTGTGAGTCGTCCGATGACAACTGTGAGTCCTCCGATGACAACTGTGAGTCGTCCGATGACAACTGTGAGTCGTCCGATGCGTATCAGGGGCTAATACTCAATTACCCTCTGGATGGGGCACGTCCAACTGAGTCGAGCCGGTTTCTGAGCGTCAACAACCAACTCAGGCCGGCCGTGGGGAGCGTGGGGAGCGTCCGTCGAACGATGATGTATCGCTTTACTAGTTTAGCAACGATGCCTCAAGGCTCGCCTGACGACTCGAGGCACTTGGGCTTTCCGTGTCGCGGATTGGAAAGAGGAAGCTGCGGGTAACCCTTGTGCCGCTATAGATGGAGCGATCGAACAATCGAGAGATGGAGAGACGGAGCTACGTACGCGCGGGTAGGCCCAGAGGAGAGTGGCCACGGCAGAATGCTTGGCTGGCTGGACGCAGGAAAGTCTAGAACCAGGCGTAATCAGCACGCAGATTGCGGTGGGCAAATCAGCTCCAATGTAGTTACAAATTCGGAAAAAGGTACAAGAAATTGGATTTGCGCTGTTAGCGAATCACTCCTATACACGACTTTTCTGTTCCCCGATCACAACTCTGTCAATCTCCGTACGGTGATGCCCAACCTTATCGCAGCTCAACCTGGTGCCCAATCAGAATCCGTTCCCAAAACCCCCGATATACGGGCAATGTGAGATCCGTTTGATTCACTCATGATTGCGTCTGCGACCAGCATATAGCAAGGGACAAGTCGTTGACGACGAGGTTTAGTCGCCACGGAACTGTGCACCGCCGTCGCCTGATCGCTTCACAAGAGTCGCACACTGGCAACAAATATCGCCACAAAACCCCCCCACAAATACCCACCCATTTCGCCGTGTGCTCGTGCGAAAGCCTCATTTGCCCGTGGCGAGGGACAGCGAAATACTTGACCGATTGAATCCCCGGCACCCTAAAATCTTGTGCGACTCTGACGAGCTTCGTTTGTACGTACATTATCCACTCCAAGTACACGTGCAGGCAACTAGCTGGTACAGTACGTACATAGACCTAGCTCGTCATGTTCCTGCAAGGGACCTAGTTCTTCGACTCCCCTGCGCAGCTTTCGCCAGGAGTCTACGCCTAAAAAATAGGCTAACCAGCGCAGCTTTCGCCGTGAATCTCGCCGACCGTGCACCGCCCAGAACAGACCGCTTTCACAACGATTCTCCGCGCGCAATCCTAGCCGTCCACGTGTCCACCCCCGAAGCTCGACCATGACGGATGACTGTCCACGTTAACTCGGAATCAACCCCAAGCGATTCACCCCTTTCTCAATGCCGCTTCCGTTACTCCTCACTACCCTCACCCTCCTCCTCCTCGTCCTCCTGCTCCCGTTCGTTCCGCCGTCGGCGTCGGAGGACCTCTTCGGCGGCGCAACCGGCGTTCGCGAGCTCGACGCGGCCAGCCTCGTCAACGACGTCGTCGCGCCGCTCCTCCTGGCCGCGCGCTTAGCGCCGCAATTTGCCGCGCTTCACCCCCTGCAACAGCCGCAGCCAGAGGCGGTCGCGGTATGGCCGTCCTCGTTACAAGCACAAGGGGGGCAGGAGCGGAAACTGCTAGGATACCAGAGCGCGGAAGAAGCGGAAGAAGAAGGGGGAGCGGGGGGAGCTGCGCGGGGAGCGGCGGAAGGGGGAGATGAGGCGCAGGGGAACGCGTGGCGGGAGAGAACGCAGGGCAGCGGGGGGCGGAGAGGGGCCGGGGGGTGGAAGAGAAGGGGCGCTGAGGGGGATAGAGTAGCTGTGGGGCGGGTGGGGCGGGTGGGGCGCATGGGGCGGGGAGATAGAGGTGGTGAGAATGATGAGGGGCGTGGGATGAGAGGTGATGCGGGTGCGGCGGAGTTGGGCGAAGCGGGGGAAAGGGACGGGAGAGAGGACGAGGAAGAGGAGGCGGAGGAGGGCGAGGGAGGAGCAGAGGAGGAGAAGGAGAAAGGAGAAGCAGGGGAATCAGGAGAGGAAGAGGAAAGGGAAGAGGACGGGGAAGGGAAAGAGGAGAGGGACAAGAGGGAGAAGAGTGAGGGTTCTGCTCTTGAGTCAACTCAAAAGAAGAGTGAGGGTTCAGGAGCTTTGAGCGATCAAGGATCTGGGGTTGGTGGTCTGGGAGGTGCTGGGTTGAGTGAGGGGCTGAAGGGAACTGCTCTCGCGGATGGAGTGGAGGCGGATGGGAGACGAGAGGACGGCCGCGAGGAGTCGCATGGAGGAGGGACGGAGGGAAGTGAAGGCCGAGAAGCAGGGGGGCAAAGGGAGCAAGGGGAGGAAGGGGAGGAAGGGAGGAGAAACAGCAGAGGAAGAGGAGCAGGGAGGATAGGAGTAGCAGGGAGAGCGCTGGAAGGAGGAACAGCAAGAGAGCAGGGACAAGCCAACAAATCTGTACCCTTGCCTGTATGGATTGAATCACTTGCAACCTTCCATGGAGCTTCCTCTACTGCCTCCTCCTCCGCCTCCTCCGCCTCCTCCTCCTCTTCCCCCCCGTCCTCCTCCCCCTTGCACCTTCCACCCACAACCATGCCCCCCCCCTCCGTGCCTATATGGCTAGTGGCGTGGTACCACCCCCTGTGCCACCACTGCCGGGCCCTCAGACCTCATCTTATAGCGGCTGCTGCTGCTGTCGCACACACGGGCATGCAAGTGGGAGCCATCAACTGCGAGAAACACTTGTAAGCCATGTCTTGTCTTGTCTCGTCTCTTCCCGTCTCGTCTCGTTTCGCCTCATCTCGTCTCGTCTTGTGTTGTGCACTTGTCATTCAGAGCGAGAGGCTCGTATGAGGCACTTCCACCCATCTTGACTCTGACGCCTCTCGCCTGCGTCCTCACGGCGTCCTCTCTCTCTCCTATTTCTCGGGACTCACGGCTTCCCTGCCTGCGCCTGATCCCCTGTCTTGCTCATCAAACCCAGTCCCAGTTTCGTATCTTCTTCCCAAGCCCCGTCTCGGTTCCATTCCATCCTATTGTTTGGTTTTTTCAACCTTGTCTGAATTCGTCCCTTCAAACGCCTTCTCGACCACAATGCGTCTTAGTGAATCGTTTGGTGTCCCTCATCCTTTTCTCCTCCTCCCATCCACCCTCTCTCCCAGCTCACTCCCCCGTTCCCTCCCCTCCCATACACCCCCCTCCCTCCCCCCTCCCACCCCTGTTTTCCCATGCAGTGTCCTTGCGTCCCAGTACGGCATCGTCTCCTTCCCCACAATCCACCTCTTCAGTCCCAACCACAGCACCCCACCTCTCATGTACCATGGCTTCCGCTCCTCCCACGCCATCACCGCTGCTCTCTCCGCCTTCGCTGCTTCCAACGGCACGCGCCTGCCCCTCACCCCCTCCTCCCTCCTCTTCCAAGCAGCCCACCAGCTGCAGATGTTGCGAGCCCAGCCCTCCTCCAAGGCCCCCTTCCTTCTCTCCCTCCTGGCTCTCTCTCTGCTCTCCCTCCTGCTCTCTCTCTCTAAGTCCAGCGCTGCTCCCTCGCCTCTCTCTCCCTCTAGCCCGTCTTGTAATCGCAGCGCCAGCGCAGCAACTGCAGGCGGGGGAGAAAGATGGGGAGGAGGTGCGTTGGGGGGAGGCGGGGGAGGGGGGGGTGGAGGAGCAGGAGCGGCAGGTGGAGCTGGTGTTTTCCTCCGACTTTTCACCCTGCCCAGGTGGTTGCGGCGGAGTCAGGTGCTTTCTCAGGTGGGGGGGAGAAGACAGGGCGGAACGGTGGGTGGTGTGGGAGAGGGAGTGTCAGAGAGGAGGTCAGAGGGGGTGGTGAGAGTGCAAGGGGGGGATGGGGTGGGAGGCAGAGAGGTGGTGGGGCGAGGTGGCGAGGTAAGGCGAGTGGTACTGTCGCGGCGATAAGAGGATGGGCAGGGTGAGGGGGGTGGAAGGGATTGGGTATTGTTGGGTTGGGTTGGGTGGGGTGGAGAAAGCAGTGTAAGTATGTGTACTAGTATATATTATATGTATAGAAAGTGAGAGAAATTGAGAGAGAGAGAGAGAGAGAGAGAGAGAGAGAGAGAGAGAGAGAGAGAGAGAGAGAGAGAGAGAGAGAGAGAGAGAGAGGAGGGATATGTGAGGGTGGGACGGGGGAAGGAAAGAGAGGACGATCTGCGAGAGGGGGAGGGCAACTGGGTTGGGGAATGCTGGGCTGGGGAGTTGGAGCCGTTGGGAGGAGAGGGCGGTTGACAAGGCACATGCATTAACTATTGGTGTGCTAGCTACGGTAAGTCCGAGCTTGGTGATTTAGTGAGATTCGGTGACGGGTGAGGTTTGGAAAAACAAAAACATCATGTACATAGTGTCGTGGCACTGGGATAACATTGTTGATCCTCTCTCTCTGTCTAGGGAGAGTACTGGGCAGGCTTTCCTGGGGAAGGTAGATATATGGAGCCTAACCGTCCTGATGATATGGTAGGACTGGTGACTTGATGATTTGGTATCAGAGCCATCCGGGGTTCAATTCCGAAATGTACACGCTATCCGAGCGGGGGGGTGTGTCGTGGCATTGGGATAACCCAGGGAAGGTGGATATATAGAGCCTGACCCTTCTGATGACATCCCTTCTTGTCCCAGTGGTTAGGACTGGTGACTTGATGACTCATAGTTGTGCGGATGGGGTACATCCAGGGCCTCAGATTCGTTTTGGGGCACGTTGATCGCTCAGGGTCCCCCCCCTTTAGCTCCCTGTTTTTTCAGGCCTCGCATAAAAACTTACGCTGATCAATCAGGGTGTTGTGATTTTTTCACGCTGAATAAAAAGTCACCTATGGTATGTGCTGGAGACAGCAGTGGCTGGCAACTTTCGAACAACCTATGAGAACCTGCCGAGCACTGTGTGCTGGATGAAGAAAGGCAGAATACTCTCCAGGGAGGCGGGATTCTGGTTGGTCACAATCAAGTCAGCGTGATTGACGTGACGGGGAGGGTGGGGGGAAAATCACGGAACTCACGGGTGGAGGGGTTGGGGCTAGGAATACGCTATTACAAGAATCAGGATCGGGCCCTGATACGACGTTGGAAAAACAGGCCTCACTACACCTGTCACGCATATCGATCGGAGTTCACTCCTAAAAAAACACTGAAATTTCAGGCCGTTGTCTTAAAAAAACCCTGTCTCATCAGGGTCATCCCCCCAAAAAGCCCTGATTTTACCCTGAATCAGGGGGAAAAGCCTGCAATCTGAGGCCCTGGGTACATCGGATGAAAGGTGCTTTATATACTCGATAACAGCCCTTCGACATATCGGTGGAGGGTGTTGTCAAACATATAGTGTATGTTGTTATAGACTATATAGGGTTGTGCCTTAAAGAGTTAACCCATTAGATTATATTCCCTTGTATGTCTTTATTCTAGTTATTCTTTCATTTTGATATGGTATCATGAGTAGGTAGGTTCCCCCCCCCCTAGCGCTTCTGCCCTAGGTCCTAGCCACCTCGTCGCCCGTGCCGGCCCCGTCACCTAGCGGCCCCGCGGCCCCGTCCCCTAGCGGCCCCGCGGCCCCATCACCTCGCGGCCCCGCGGCCCCGTCACCTCGCGGCCCCGCGGCCCCGTCACCTAGCGGCCCCGTCCCTCGCGGCCCCGCGGCCCTGTCACCTCGCGGCCGTGTCACCTAGCGGCCCCGCGGCCCCGTCACCTAGCGGCCCCGTCACCTCGCGGCCCCGCGGCCCTGTCACCTCGCGGCCGCGTCACCTAGCGGCCCCGCGGCCTCGTCACCTCGCGGCCCCGCCGCCCAAATCGGCCCCGTCGTCCTAGCCGGCCCCGTCCTCCTAGACGGCCCCGTAGCTCCGTCGGCCCTGCCTCCCAGCCGGCCCCGCCTCCCAGCCGGCCCCGCCTCCTAGCTGGCCCCGTCGCCCAATCGGCCCCGTCGCCTAGCCGTCCCCGTCGTCCGACCGGCCCCATCGCGTAGTTGGCCCCCGTCGCCTAGCCGACCCCGTAGCCCAGCCGGCCCCGCCCCCTAACCAGACCCATTGCCTCGCCAGCCCCGTCTCCCAGCCGGCCCCGTCGCCCAGCCGGCCCCGCCTCCCTGCCGGCCCAGCCTCTTAGCCGACCCCGTCGCCTAGCAGGCCCCGTCGCCCGACCGGCCCCGTCCCCTTGTTGGCCCCGCCGCCTAGCCGGCCCCGTCGCCTTGCCGCCCGCGGCCCCGTCTCCTAGCCGCCTCACCGCCGTCCTTGGCCCCCTGCACCGCGCTGCACCGCCGGCACCGCTCTGCACCGCACGACACCGCACTGCACCACGCTGCACCGCTCTGCACCGCACTGTACCGCACTGCACCGCACTGCACCGCTCTGCACCGCACTGCACCGTATTGCACCGCACTGCACCGCACCCTACTGTATTGCACCTCCGTCTATTGCCCTCTATAGCACTGCACCGCCCATCACCATTTTCTGCCGCACCCTACTGGCCAGTACCGCCTTTCTGCTGCTACAGCGACCATGATGGCGGACTCGGTCCTGCGTTTTGATGCGGAGGGGCAGTCGATTGAGTTCGACTCGTGGTTCGTCGACCTCCGCCGACACCTAACTGGTCAGCGGCAGGACGACCACTCCCTGGCCGTCCACCTCGACGGTACGCTCCCCTGCCCTGACCCCCTGCTGCTCTACCCGCAAACCCCACGTCTGCTGACCGTGAGTCCGTTGCCGCTGCTGCCCTTGCTCGTGTTGTCCGGTTGTCGCGTGACGCTATCGCGCAGCTCGCGATTAGTCATGCCCTCCCCCTGTCTAAGCGCCCCCGCTTTAGGTCGGTCAGGGCTGCGCAAGAGTTCTTAGAGGCTGTTGTCGAGCGCTATTCCACCCCGCCCTCTGCCTCCGTCGGTGACCTCATCCTGCCCATGCTCTTTCCAGATCTAGCGTCTTTCCCTATTGTCTCTGACCTTGCCACCCATCTGCGCAGGCTAGACACGACCCGGCACACTGCCTGTACTAAGGCTCAGCTTCGTGTGTTTCAGCCCCCCATCTGCTCTACCCTCTACCTGCTTGCCACCCCCATCCCTGGCCGTCTTGCCACCGCCCGCAATCGCTTCCTAAGTCTCCACCCCGCTGACCTCACCCTTACTGACTTTGTCGACACCCTGTCTGCCATTGAGACTCGTCAGCGCTCTATCGCCCAGGCTAGCGGTACCGTGCCGGTCTCTATCTTCCTGGGCTGTGCCCCAGCTCAGTGCACTTACTCTGACGGTTCTGCTGCTGTCGCTTAGAGAGCCCCTGCAGCGGAGACGGCCGCTGCAGCGCATTTTCGTTCGGGTAAGGGTCGCCGCCCAAAGGATGGGCGCGGCGGAGGTAGCGGAGGAGGGGGTGGTGGAGGTGGTGGGGGTGGCTCGCCAGCTGGTAGTCCTGACGAGGAAGCTGGCGCTGGTGCCTTGGAGTCGCAGCCCCAGCAGCCGCAGCCGCAGCAGCAGTAGGCGCCGCAGCTGGACCAGCAGCAACAGCAGCCGTCGCAGCAGCAGCAGCAGCGGCGGGTGGGCCGTCTCCCCCCCGGGTGGCCCGGTGCCGGCAGTGGCCGTGCGCGTGGCGTGATGCTGGGTGGTGGTCAGAGTGACGGGCGCTGTCAGTACCAGCTCAAGACCGACCCTCGCCGCGACCTCGTGTGCGGTAAGATCGGCCATACCCCCACTCGCTGCTTTCGTCGACTCAACGACCTGTTTCGTCTCCGCTTCGGTCTGTCGACGGACCTCCCCGACTGGCACAGTCTGCCCCGTCGTGGTGTTACGATCTTTGATATGGACATCAGTGTCGGGCAGCAGTTGCAGCCGTCGCCGCCAGAGTCTGCTCTTCGCCTCCTCGGTCTTCCTTCCCCTGACCACCTGCTAGTGCCTCCCCCGTCTCAGCCGCTTCCTCCTCTGCTGGTTCACGGCCCAGTGTTTCCTCCCCCGGACTCCTCCCCCGCTTGTTTCCCTCCCCGTTCTCCTCCTGTGTCTCCTCCTCTCTCTCCTGACCCGACTCCTCCGTCTCACGTCTAGTCTCGTCGTCCCTCTCGTGCTTGTCCTACCTCCCCTGTTCCGCGTTCTCACCCTATGTTGCTTCGCTCCCACGCGTCTCGTATTCCTCCTCTCCTCCCGTCACCTCCCCCGTCATCACTTGCTGTGGCCCCGCCTCCGTTCTCGATCTTTCTCCATGCTGCACGTCCCTTATTCCTCGTGTCCTTGCCTCTCTTGTTACCGACCCGTCCGTTCCTATCTCGAGACTTTACGCTCTTGTCGCTGCTGTCACTGACTTCGCTGCTACCCACCGCCTGGAATACGCCACCGCTCTGGTCTCTGACCCTGCCTGCCCTCGGACCGTCAGGGGTGTGGCTGCTATTGGCAGTGACGTCCTAGAGGACAGGCAGTTCGAGCTTGCTTTCTTGTCGGAGGCCGCTCTCCATCTCTGTTCCATGCTCCTAGTCCCTGAGGGTGACCCAGACGCCCTTGACATCCTGACCCCTCGCACCTACACTAAGGCCACCTCAAGACCCTGGGCCTCTCAGTGGATAGCTGTCATGGAGCAGGAGATGGCATCTTGGAGATCCACCGGTACCTTCGTCGACGCAGTTCCCCTACATGGGGTGAACGTAGTCGATGGCCGGTGGCTCTTCAAGGTGAAACGCCCTCCTGGAGAGCCGCATGTCTTCAAGGCGCGCTACGCTGCTCGAGGCTTCAGTCAGCGTGAGGGGGTGGACTGCTTTCAGACCTTCGCCCCGACCCCGAAGATGACTATTCTTCGGGCACTACTTCACGTAGCAGCACAGCGTGATTACAAGCTGCACTCCCTCGTCTTCTCCAGAGCTTTCCTCCAGGGCAGTCTACACGAGTAGGTCTACCTGCGCCGCCCCCAGGGCTTCTCCGGTACCTTCCCCCTTGGCACCGAGTGGCTCCTCCGGCACCCCGTCTACGACTTGCGACAAACGCCCCGTGAGTAGCACGACACGCTGCGTGCTACACTTGCTGACTTGCAGTTCTTCCCTTCGTCTGCAGACCCCTCGCTCTTTGTCCGCTCTGGCAAGACTCCGCTCTACATCCTTGTCTACGTAGACAACCTGGTCTTCGTTACTACAGACAGAGACGCACTGGCCTCCGTGAAGGCGGAGCTGCTGAAGAGACACACCTGCACTGATTTAGGAGAGCTGCGTCGCTACCTTGGCTTGCAGATCTCTAGGGACAGAGCAGCGCACACCACCAATGTCTTACAGTCACACTTGGTGCGCCATATCCTTCAGAGGTTCGGCCTTCAGATCTCCTCCGCACAGCCCACCCCTCTGCCAATAGACCACATGCTCTCAGCTCCAGTTCTCGAGGAGTCAGCGGAGCCCAGTGGTCATTACGCAGAGCTGGTGGGTTGCCTCATGTACCTGATGACTTGCACTCGTCCAGATCTCGCATACCCTCTCAGCATCGTGGCTCGCTTTGTGGCCCCCGGCAGACACGAACCACAGCACTGGTCGGCAGCCAAGAGGTTTTGCGTTATCTAGCAAGTACTCAGGCATGTGGCTAGTCCTAGGAGGACGTAGACCAGTGGTCCTTACCGGGCACACATACGCTTCTTGGGTAGACGACGCCGAGACTCTCAGGTCCTCACAGGTCTATTGGTTTAGCCTTGGTGCACGTGCCATCTCGTGGAGGTCCACCCGCTCCTCGTCTGTTGCCCACTCTAGCTGTGTGGCTGAGATCTACGCTGGTGCCATGGCGGCTCAGGAGCTCCGCTGGCTGACCTTCTTGCTCACCGACCTGGGTGAGTGGCCTAGCTCTGCCCCGGTTCTGTGCGCTGACAACAGGGCCATGATCCTCCTGTGTCAGGAGCCACGACTTGAGGGCAGAGTGAAGCACATCCAGCTGCGGTACTTCCTTCTGCGCGAGCTACAGCAGCGTCGCCAGGCTCGCGTTGTACACTTGGCGTACGGTGCCAACACAGCTGATATCTTTAGTAAGGCGCTTGCGCCTAAAGATCATCAGCGGCACTGTGTCCAGCTGGGTCTCGTTCCTGTAGCCTCTCACTTGCTAGGACCTTGATTGTGCACAGACCTTTATATATATTCTCCTGACTGGTCTTGTGGCCTCTTTCCGGTGGCTGGACTAGTAGTGCCGCCCTAGTCTTGCTCTTGCCTTGTCTGTACTCGTTTGACTGGTCTTAAGACCCCTTCCTCAGAGGCTGGACTAGTAGCGCCACCCTGAGCTGCTTCTCTCTCTGATTAGGCACTGCCCCTATCCTGTCTAGGGGGTGTGTCAAACATATATTGTATGTTGTTGTAGACTATATAGGGTTGTGCCTTAGAGAGTACAACCCATTAGGTTATATTCCCTTGTATGTTTCTATTCTAGTTATTCTTTCGCTTTGATAGGTGTCTCCACACCAAACCAGATTTCGTTAGATATGACAGAATAGCATAAAAACCACGGCAAAATAGCATGAAGGAGGGGGGGGGGGGGGGGGGGGGGGGGGGGGGGGGGGGGGGGCTTTGTCAATAGATATGCCGGGGTTGCCCTTGAGATCCTCCAAATGGGCGCACTTACCCGCTACTTAATGCCCTAGGCTAAAATAGCAATCCCCATTCAAGTTGGACCTAGCTTAAAGAAGAAAATGGGCTTGGTTTGAAAAAGAGTTGGGGTTTTTGGGGGGGGGCAACGGGCTTGTTCGAAATAGATTCGGAAGCAGTTTGTGCATTGAAACTATCGAATACGGGGCGGAACTAGTGTTCACTTGCTCATGTGACAACGATCTTGCCTGTCGTACAGCTGGTGAGGTGTTGCAGTGGTTCTGATTCCCCTACGACACCCGAGAAGCAAACCTGGTCCCACCTTGAAAAACGAGCTGGGTTCCAGGGGAAGAAATCGCACATGCGATATCTTCTGACACGTAAATCGCTCAAGTCGCGATCGTGTCAGAAGGGTCGCACAATACATTTCGCCAAGCTGTTTGTTGCGTCACCCAATCATCATCTAGCTGTTCGTTTCACACTCCTTGCCATCCGAAATTCTCAACAGTAATTCTAGTCAGTCATCCTATTCTTGGACGAAATTCCAAAGGCAAATGTTCAAGTTGGGCCCACCTTTGCTATTATAGTATGGAAATTTAACAATTCCTTTCAACTCAGTAGTTAGTGACTCAGTTTTGTCATGGTATCAGATGTCAAAGTATATATTTAAATATATATTTGTGTAGGCTTGGTAGTTGTGCTACTTACTGAATCCTATAGTAGAGGGGACAACCTCCCCCTTCTTATATCTCCTTCTCTTCTAGTCCAAGCCTCTTCTCCTCCCTCTCGTAACTCTCACCCCCTAGCTAAACCTCTCGCCATTTCATAGCGTCCTGCATAGCTACCTTATAGCAACCTCACGACCTAGGTTCAACCTACTGGACCTTCTTCTCTCGCTTCCACCGCGCACTCCTCTCTCTCTCTCTCTCTCTCTCTCTCTCTCTCTCTCTCTCTCTCTCTCTCTCTCTCTCTCTCTCTCTTTCTCTCTCTCTTTCTCTCTCTCTCTCTCTCTCTCTCCTTCTCTCTCTCTCTCTCTCTCTCTCTCTCTCTCTCTCTCTCTCTCTCTCTCTCTCTCTCTCTCTCTCTCTCTCTCTCTCTCTCTCTCTCTCTCTCTCGCTGCCATGGCAGCCGCGTCGTGCTGCTGTGGCGGCGTCGTCGTGCTGCCGCGGCGGTCTCGACGCGCTGCAGTGGCAGCCTCGTCGCGCTGTTGTGGCGTCGACGTCAAGCCGTGGTGGCGTCGTCGGGCTATCGCGGCGGCGTCGACGCACCAGCGCATGAGCGGCAGCGAGCCGCGCACCGTGTTAGCCGCGTCCAGCCCGCCTGCATGCCAGTAAGCGCCGCGTCAGCCATGGCTCTGCGCTGAAGATCCGTCCCCCACCCCTTCCCCCTTCCCCTCCTCCCCGCCGCAGCTGCTGGCGACCTCGTGCCGTCCTCCCCCTCGTCGTCGCAGGTTGAGCCACGCCGTCGGGTGCTTCGGGCGCCGCCGCCGCCATCGCCGGGTGCCTCGACGACGCCGCCGCCGCCGCAGGTGCTGCACGCCCTACCGCCGTCGCCGCCGCAGTCGCCGACGCCGTCGCCGCTGTTGCGACCCGCCGTCGACGTCGTCACCTCGCTTGCCGAGGAGTCGAGTGGCTGGTCGACGCCACAGCTGTTGCTGGGAATAGGGGTGCAAGGATGTGGGGGTGCTACGGGTGGGATGGGCTTGCCGCTACCAAGCCTAGGGTGTGTGTCAAAGTATATATTTAAATATATATTTGTGTAGGCTTGGTAGTTGTGCTACTTACTGAATCCTACAGTAGAGGGGACAACCCCCCTTCTTGTATCTCCTCCTCTTCTAGTCCAACCCTCTTCTCCTCCCTCTCGTTACTCTCGCCCCCTAGCTAAACCTCTCGCCATTTCATGGCGTCCTACCTAGCTACCTTCTAGCAACCTCACGCCCTATTTGGACATCAGAGCCAAAAGGTTTCGAGTTCAATTCCCAGTGGGCACTGCTGGAAGTGCTAGATTGTCGAGAGAACTGTGCACTAGGGGAAAGTGTCGAGGGTTACGAAGGTCGGGTTGTACCCTCTAAGGCTATAACAAATATAAACTAGCTAGCCTAGGTAATTATATTTGTTGACACACCCCCTAGGCTAGATAGTGGTAGCTCATAACAAATAATAGTACAATAGGGCTGCACTATTAGTCTGACCTCTGGTGAGAGTAACAAGGCAACTCAGGGCAACATTGCTAGTCTAACCACCGAGACAAGAGGCCACAAGGCCAGTCAGCAAGTGTAGCAAGACATGCAGGTATAGTACAACAAGTACATGCAGGTATAATATGATTCAAGAGACAAAGATTGGTGCTGCTACCTCGGCTAGACCAAGCTGAGTACAGAACCGCTGATGGTCACGAGGCGCAAGGGCCTTGGTAAAGATATCAGTGGTGTTGGCCTTTGAGGCTAGCTGTACCACACGAGCCTGACCGGGCTGCTGCCACTCACACAGCAGGAAGTACCACAGCTGGATGTGCTATGCCCTGCCCTCAAGTTGAGCCTCTTGACACAGGAGGATCATGACCCTGTTGTCAGCAAACAGGACCGGGGCAGACCCAGGCGGCTCACCTAAGTCTGTGAGTAAGAACGACAGCCAGCGGAGCTCCTGAGCGGCCATGGCCCCAGCGTAGATCTCTACCTTATAACTGGTCTGAGCTACAGACGATGACCTGGTGGACCTCCACGAGACAGCACCAGCACCAAGACTAAAACAGTAGACCCGAGACGACCTGAGCGTCTCAAAGTCGTCAGCCCACGACGCGTCTGTGTGTCCAGTGAGCACCACTGGCTCCAGTTATCCTAACACAAGCCCCAATCCTGATGTACTCGCCAGATACCGTAGTACCCTCTTGGCAGCCGACCAGTGGACTGGTCGGTGCCTGCTTGTCATCATAAAGCGAGCGAGGAGACTGAGAGGGTATGCTAGATCTGGTCGAGTGCAAGTCATCAGGTACATGAGGCAACCCACTAGCTCTGCGTATGGATCACTAGCCTCTACCAGCTCAGCCGGAACAGGAACATAAAGCTTGTGATCCACAGACAGAGGGGTGGGCTGTGCTGGGGAGAAATGGAGACCGAACCTCTGGAGGAGTTGCTGCACTATATGGGAGTGGGAGAGTGATCGTGCGAGCGACACGATCACGGGAGATCTCCAAGCCCAGATAGCGTCTCAGCTCTCCCAAGTCTGTACAGGTGTGCCTCCTAAGCAGCTCGGCCTTCACTGAGGCCAGTGCGTCTCTATCAGGAGCAGAAAAGATCAGATCGTCTACGTACACTAGGATGTAGTACGAGGTCTGACCAGTATGAACAAAGAACGAAGGGTCAGCAGAGGACAGGAAGAAATGTAGCTCTGCAAGTGTCTTGCGAAGCGTGTCGTGCCACTCACGGGGTGCCCGCTGAAGGCCGTAGACAGGGTGGCGCACGCTCCACTCGGTCCCAGGCGGGAAGGACCCAGAGAAGCCTAGTGGTCGTCAAAGGTAGATCTGATGGTGTAGACGACCCTGCAGGAAAACTGTGGAGAAGTCGAGTGAGTGAAGCTCGTAGTCATGTTACGCGGCAAGGTGAAGGAGCACCCGAAGAGTAGTCATGTTCGGGGTCGGGGAGAAGGTATCGAAGAAGTCCGCACCTTCTCTCCCGGGGCGCGCTTCACCCTATAGATCCATATGCCATCGACTACTTTCGCCCCAGACGGGGGAACTGCGTCGACATAAGTGCCTGTGGATCTGTAGGATGTCATCTCAACCTCCATGGCCTGTATTCATTAGGCTGCCCAGTAGGCTGTATCCAGTAGGCCAACTCGTACTGCTAGTCCTCTGGCACATCAGTGCCAAGGGCAGGTGCACTCCCGACGGACGGAGAACGGGCTGTACCAGAGACTAGAGCGACAGCGTAGTCTATGCGGTGGCTAGCTGCAAAGTCAGCGACAGCAGCGACAAGCGCAGAGACGGTCTCAGGCGGAGCAGTAGGGTCTGTGACAAGCGATGCAAGCAAGCCGGAGGTGGTAGGACAAGCAGTGCGAGCTAAGTTAGAGGGAGGAGCAAAGGACTGCGGGAGCGAAGACGGAGGAGGTAATGGAAGCATAGGGACTAGAGGAGCACGAGAACGGAGGAACATAGGGTGGACGCTACGACGGGAAAAATAGGACGAGTACCAAGGAGAAGAAGGGAAGACTGCGGCTACTCTTTCTGCAGCTGCGGCTGCGGCTACTGATGCTGCTGCTGCGACTGCGGTTCCGGCAACACCCTGTCCTCGCCAGGACCTCCAAGTGCACCTCGGCTACCACCGGCACTCTCTGAAAAAGCACCTCTAGGACTAGCACCCCTGGACGCACCACCCACAGAACCAGCACCCCTCGGTCAGCACCCCTAGAACCAGCACCCCCAATACCAGTACCTCCAACACCAGCACCTCCAACACCAACACCTCCAACAATAGCAACCCAAGAGCCCACTGCCCCCTGCTGCTGCAGGCGCTGAGCTAGCTGCGGCGGCTGCGGTGACTGCGGCTACTGCGGAGGCAAGAGGGGAGATGGCTGAGGTGTCTGGGGTACCGGGCCTGGTGGGTGAGCCACAAGGACAGCAGGTGCGCCCCCAACAGTTGCGCCCCCTGAGTCAGCAGACTTCCCCACAGGCCCGACTGAGGGGAACGGAGTGGCCTGAGAGACACCAGACGTGGCCGGGCAGGGTGGGAGGGCTGCGGCAAGCGCGGCAGGGACGAGGAAGATAGGAGGAGGAGACACAGGAGCGTTGCGGTAAGGGAAGCGCCCGTAGTAGGGGAGTGTCTCGTGGAAGGTAACGTCAAGAGAGCGGTACAAGCGGTGATGGACCGGGTCGTAAAACAGCCAGTCAGGGGTGTCAAGCGGACACTCGAGGAAGACACACGGACGAGTGCAGGCTGAGAGCATGTCCGCGCCAGTGGCGCGGACGTGAGCAAGGCTACCCCAGACGCGGAATGTAGCAGCGATACCACGAGACCTGGTCCAGAGATGGGTCGGCGAAACCTGTGGTCGCTGGTGAGCTGTGTAGCGCACAGCGAACGGCCACAAAAAATGGGGTGCACCGGCGTGGACCAAGGAGGTGTGAGATACCTCCATTACTAGGCCGATGTGTTGCTCAGCGACCCCATTCCGTTGTGGGGAGTCTGGCAGTGTGTACGTCTGGCGGATGCCCTCCGCACGACATAACTGACCTAGAGTGCCCGAGGCAAACTCTCCACCACGGTCAGAGTGCAACCGAACTACGAGCAGGCAGTGCTGGGTACGAAGAGTAAGCAACCACTAGGAGAACGGTAGGCACGTCGGCCTTCCGCTCCAACAAGAACACCGTGGTGAAACGCGAGAAGTCATCAACGACGACCAGGAGGTAGCGCTCCCGACTAAGACCATGGACGGGGGCAGGGCCCTAGACGTCCATGTGCAGTGTCGGTAGCGGCGCTGTAGTGGGAGGAAACGAGGAGGAGTGAGGGAGGAAACGAGGAGGAGTGAGGGGTGGCGCGCTGCCGGCTCTCGATGCATAAGGTGCATAGTGGCGCGACCGACGCAGGCAGGGCTGGGAGCGATGCACGAAGACCAGTAACTAGACTGTGCTAGGACGTGTGCCTAAGACAGGGAGAGAGGTGGTAATGCGTGCGACAGCTGTGGCGTGCTGGTAGCAATAGGTGGCAAGCTGGGATCGAGCTGGTGAGCTGGCCAATTGGCGTGCTGGCGAGCTGGTAGCTGCGGGCAGAGTTTGCTGGCGGCAAGCTAGCAGGTGGCCGGGCAGGCTCTGCTGACGGCGAGCTAGCAGGCGCTGCGGGCGGCGAGCCGACAAGCACTGCTGACACGGAGCTGGCAGCGCTGCTGGCGGCTAGCTAGCGGTGGCTAGCTGGCTGCGAGTGGACAGCGGCTAGTGAGCGACTGGCGGTAGGTTAGGAGTTGCTAGGAGGACTGGGGAGCAAACGAGGAGGAAGTATGCGCAAGAGGAGCTACTAGGAGCAGTACACCAAGGAGCTAGCTAGGAGTCACTAGGACTGGCGGCACTGGGCGAAGGACAGTCCATAGGGCATGGGGGACTCACGAGGCTGGCGGCCGACTGGCGATTGGCGGCCGACTGCCGCTGGTGGCTGGTTGGTCGGCGGCTGGCCGCGAGTGATGGCAGCTGGCGGCTGACGGCTGGGGGTCGGCGGTCGGC